GCGTGACAGTGCGTCTATTTAGCTTCGTCATCACTTTGCAGCCGATTTAAAACGAGTTTAGGCAAGACGCCCTCGTGAAAAACATGAACGCGAGGCAATCACCTTCACTGGCACTGGCATGAGATGCTACATCTAGGCGCAGCGGTGAGTGGACGACGCTTCGTTTAAACTGTCAAATGCGACTCACAAAGCTCCAACGTCGCAGCAAATCAAGAGATCTAGTGGTTGTCAGCCTCTTCGTGCAACAAAGACACTGCTTAAGCCTGTTTTACCGCACCTCACTAACCATGCTGCGTGAAGAACGAAGCTGAAACTGTAGCAAAAGGTCTCTAGACAGTTCACTAGCTAACTCTATCCAATTGGAAGCCTGTACTTCCCATAATTCCCATGGGGGTACACGATCGCAGTGCCAGATTCCTCTCTAGGTATTATTGTATGAAACTCTATGCTTCCGCTGTTCATGCACATAAAATCAGCATTTTTGGCTCACTGCAAGGCACCGAGAAGGAGCTTTGAGTAATAATAGCCAGGAAGTAGTGGAAAGGAGCTTTACGGGTACCTTCTGAAGTTAGCGACGCAAGTATCAAGTGGACTATGCACGACACCCGCACTGTATGTACAGCCCATAGAGTTTCATACAATAATACCTATAGCGGAATCTGGCGCTAGTGCCTACGCGGACTCCTTCAGCGGCGCTTGTACCCGCATGGGAATGATGGGAAGTACAGGCTTCGGATGGATCACATTCTTGAGATTCACGACGCTTCTTTTCCGAGTGTGAAACAAAGTAATATGAAGTTATATCAAATTGAAACTTACTTCATTTTTTTGTACACAAAATTTATTGCAAACGGTTCTTGTGACTAGGCGGTAGAAGCGAAACCTGCACAAATTTAACCATCAGGGTATGCATTGTTATGTCATTGCGTTCTAAATTTGGCATGAAGATGTAATTAATTATTCTTTACAACATTTCAAAACAAACACTCTTGCTTTGGCCTCGAAAGTACGCAATATCTATTTATGAAAATAACAGCACAGTATTAAGTGAGAAACACTTAATGTTTCGTCTGCTGCGATGCCAGGTACGTCTGTTCAAGTGGTCTGCCCCCAACGCACCTCTCGTTTTGTTGTGAGGTCGAGCCAAAAAGCGTGGCGGTGCGTCTACTTCGCGTCGCCGTCATTTCGCTGTTGATTTCAATGAGTTTTGACAAGACGCACTAACACCAAACGTGAACTCGATGTGATCTCCTGCACTGGTATGGGACGCTACATTTATGCGTAGCAGTGAATGACCGACGCTTCACTTCAACTGTCAAACACAACTTATACAGCTCCTGCGTTGCAATAAATTGAGAGGCCTAGCAGTTTTCAGCTTCTTTGAACAACAGAGGCGCAGCTTCAGTCTTTTGTACCCACCTTACTACCCACTCTACACGAATAACGAAACTGAAACTGCAGAAAAAGATCCGTAGACAGTTTACTAGCTAACGCGATCCAATCTGAAGCCTGTACTTCACCTAATTCCCATGAGGGTACACGATCGCAGCGCCACATCCCTCTCCGAGTATTATTGTATGAAACTCTATCATACAGCCAAACCAAAGCTGGTGACTACAGAGAAATCTCTAATTACTACGCACGTACACAAGGTGGGGGCTGTTCCCCCGTGACTAACACTGCTGGTATAAAGGGTCACTGACAAACTTTCTCGAGAAGTTACTGCAGAAACCAATAGTCTCATACTCTTTTTCTTATAGAGGGAGAGAAAGAGTCGATTCAGAAACCGAAACATTATTTCCAGATATCCTTGCCACCAGCATGGCTCAGTGAAAATCCGCACCTAACCACTCTATTGTAGATAGTTACACGTTTCCAGGACAAAAAGAGGCTTTTCTTTCCTGGGCACTTGCACGGGAGTACGGCTCTCAGAGCTGTGCTTTTTTTTTTTTAACCAGAGGGCGGGGGGGGGGGGGGGGGGGGAGTGTCACGCACATATGAAACGTTTCAAAGGAAATCATGGAAACAGCAACGCCCCTGCAATAGAACAGTTTAATTCTCACCTCACGTGACAATTCTACCAAATTTTAGGTAACATATGGGCATATAATGTGACATGCAATGTGCAGAAGAATCTTTGTGTCAATTGAAAAAGATAATCAACGGTATTCTACTATGTCATGTGCATTTACTGCGTGGAACATTGCTCGCAGAGAGTTTATTGCATTTCTGGTAGAAAATCATAGTTACTATGTATATTCTACGTATATTGTTCTTAACTTTACATAATAACATGTCCAACCATGTTTATTCATTCTGTGCATTTCCTGTACCTTATGCCGCCAGTTGCAGAAATCTCTGGGTGTGCCCTTCTAGTCATGTAAATGTTGTAATGAGTAAAGGAGAGACACCAGAGGCGTGCCGAAGGCGCTATGGAGCCTACATGACCACTTTTTTTAAGGTGGAAATATCTCAAAAAGTCCCCTCGAAAAACTCAGCCAGAATCAGCAAACAATTGGGACTGCTGTTGCAAGATTCTGCCAAATTTAGCATCAGTTTTTATGCACTGTCATTTTGGGGCCAGCTGTACAATTCCCCCCCCCTCCTTCCAGCAACTCATGATGTGCAATATGAATAGCGACTTGCAGTGTATTTTCAAAGGCTCTTTTTCAGGCTAATACCTTATTAAGGCAAAAGCCTTCGGTACATCAGGTGTGAAATATCGGTGGTGTCCAGCGTCGGAGTCAACATGAAGTATTAGATGCATCAAGCGCGAAATGTAACCGTCGGTGGCGTCGTCGAGTGTCGGGGTCAACACGTTACCAACACCTCCCGTTACATGCATCAAGCTTGACACCTAACTGTCTGTGACGTCCAGCGTCGCAGTCAACACATTACATGCATGAAGCTCGAAACGTAACCATCGTTGGCGTCGACCAGCGTCAGCATCAACACTAATCCTTAGGTGCATCAAGCGCGAAACGTAACCGGCAATGGCATCGTATAGCATCGCCATCAATACGAACACTTAGGTGCATCAAGCGCGAAATGTATATATGCGTGTGTGTGTGTGTTTAGATGTTAGCAGAATGTGCGAAGGTTCAATAGAAATGCTATTCTCTGGCTTGAGTATATCTTAGCACACATATGAAGAGTCGCACTGACATATGCTTGAACGTGGCCTACCAAATTTGGAACAGCAATTGGTTTTTACCATCAAAACGAACCTTGGCCTAGTGAAAATTATCGTAGTAATCGACTTCGGTGAGAACTATTCCGGCCGGTACAAGTATTACTACCCCTACAGCATTAAAGAGGTACTGACACAAAATGTTTGGGCCGAGATAGCCTGTGGGGCCGATTTCTGTGAGTGTTCATATATTATCTGCAAAATATCAACAGCGAATAAAGCTTGGAAGGTATTTTAAATTAATTGTGAAGTTTGCGTGAGCCATCGACTGCATCGTGCCATTGACACCTGCCAAGAGAAGGAGACTCTTTAGGGACTCTCTACTTCCCTCCCGTCACCACCCTGCTGTCAACTAAACAAGTTATGATGACAGCATAGGCACCATTTTTCCTTTGCCGCGTTTGTTCCCGCAGTCCAAAGTTTTCAGCGACTGGTTGTTGCGGCGCACACTTTGAAAATTTGTGTTTGGCGACACTGTAGTCCGGTTTCCAATTCGAAAGTAATTCTTGATGTTAACCGTGCGGAAGTGTGTCACAGTTCTGTGTGCTGACGTGGTCAAGAGCTGCACGCGCTAGGTGGCGATAGTTGCTCATGGTTTTTGGAGCTCTCCCAAACCGAAACTGGTCGATAATGAGGGACCTGTAATTAATTATCTGTCACGTGCCCCAGCGAACGATGTGCCGTGTCAGGGCTAACAGGCCCCCAGCAACACATCGCAGCAAGAAAACGCGAGGCCACAGTTTTTGTGTCAGTACCCCTTAAATCCCGTCCCCGAGCCAACTTAAAACGCTCGCAGCCGAGATCCCTGCTCAACATCTCACAGAGTGCCCAAAGCCTTGACAAACACCTTGACATGTTTTTCTGTGTGCAGACATTATTCACTGTAAAAGCACTCAGAAATGATATGTGATAGTAGCACCGCTTAGTTTCCAAATCATGTCAACGTGAAGGAAAGAAAAAAAAAGATTGATAGGTCGCGAAGGAAGGGTTGAACCTACCCTCCAACCTACCCTTGGCTACGCGACTGACAGTTACATATGTGAAATTGTTTGCAGCCAGTCCAAAATGGCTGCTTTAGTCAAGAACTGCTCTTTTCAGGGAGTCAGTGGACTAACCACAGTTGCAACGCGTGTGAAACAATTGAATGCATAGAACAAAATGTGCAGTGTTTCACAGTGCAACACCAATGGACTGATATTAACAGTGCCAATCAGGAGGCATTTCAATGTGGAAAAAGGAGGCTTATGCTGACCAGTATGAACGTTCGTCATTTGATGAGTCTGTCAGCAATGGCTGAGCAGCCTGTTGATGTTGTCATGAGGAATGAGCTTTAAAAGGCTCCTGATAAGTAATGGCAGTATATAGCACAAGTGCAAAGTGCAGATGGCAATGGTGTCCACAAAGCAAAAAATACCATGGTGTGGAAATGCAAGAACTTCTGAACAGGAAAGTGCAAGCTTTTTTTAAAGAGCAAAGCCCTTAGAGCTCCCGGTAAAACATCACGTGTCTCAAAAAAAACTTTCCCTGTCGTCGCCACACCTAACAACGAACATGGTTCGTCCAGCTGCCTCACTGAGTTTGCCCGCCATGGAAGCCAAGTACAAGTGACAAAAGGCCCAAGATGGACAGATTTGTTCCAACTTCTCCAACAACAAACTGATTGAGTAAAATGCCACTTACACGATGCTTTACAGCATGTGATAGGGGCCTGGTGAGGGGCTCGGGCAATTAATGGAGGCGAGGTAGTGGTTGATGAGTGAAAACACTATAAAGGATGTAACATGAGACGGTAACCATTGACTACCCTTACCACACTTCACCAACATCGCCATGACTTGTGAAGTTACTCAGCTCATCTTGATATGCTTCTTCCCAGCTGAAAGAAAAAACATTAAAATACATTACTAACTCATAAGCGACAGCTGTACATGCACCACAGTTGTAAAAGCTGTTTTGCTATCTGACCTGTACCACAATACATGATATGTGGGGTTTAACGTACCAAAACCACCATATGATTACGGACCTTTACAGCAAGAACCATGACTAAAATTAATGGTGATTACTCAAAAACAGACTCCATGACTCCATGCACATGAACAGTGGCTTTGAGAGAAGCAACTGTTCAGAAAATTAGATAAGCAACTTCTGTAAGAGGACAGAATTTTACAATATCGCCAGAATGCAACGCCACAGAAGAAGGTCCTGCAAATGCTACTGCGCTTTTTGCAAACGACAGCCTTTTTGAATTGTTGTAGTAAGCATTCCCTTCCTGTGTGTGTTTTTTTTTCTCCTTTTTTTTCTCTTTTTCTACACCCTCTTTCTTGCCCCTGTTTGCACACCCCCAGTGCTGGGTATTAAATTGGATGCCAACATTTGGTTAACCTCCTGGCTTTTTTCTTCTCTTTCTCTCTCTCTTAAAAGAAGCCCTGGAATTAACAAACGTGCACCGGTGTAGCATTGAAAGAGTTGCACTAGTCGACAGTCCTTGAATGCTGTCAATCAATCAAGACTTCTCGTCTGCAGCGCAACCTTCGCAGCTATTTTTCGAAGCAAGAGGAATGGGCCAGCCATTGATGGACTATTTTATCTTCCTAAAACTTGGGAATGTAACTCCAGCCAAGGAGCGCTTGTTAACAATGTGAACCTCATTCATAAGGTCCTGTGCAGAACAGCTACATGCCCAACGAAGCCTGTTTTTCGTAAAAAAAACGACTGCTTAAAGCTTCGGGTTTTCGAAAATGGTAAGAAAGTTGAGCCTGCCCACTGACATATTAGGGCGTGTGAAACCCTCCACTGTGTGTGTGGTGTGCAATGTGCATCTCCTCTCATTTACTCTCGTATTCTCTTCTCCCCACGTGTAGGCACCATCCAGTCGAGTTTTCTAGTTTGACTGCAGCACCAGAATACATAGCCTAGCGGATAAAGAAAGCAACCTTGAGACGGCGTCAATGAAAATGGAACGGGATGCGTGCGTCTCGCGCCCTGAATCTTTCGGCGGATAGTGGTCGGGATACATGTGGGGCGCGTGCACGCGTCATATTCTGCAAGCCCCAAACGGCGAATGTCAAAGACCGAGACGTGGCAGTGTGAACAAGGCGGCTCCCTCTGGTCAGTGTGCAGTGCCTATAGGGTACCAAACTAGACGTAGTCTAGTTAGTGGTTAACCTCCCTATCCTTTTTTCCTTCTGTCTCTCTCTCACTGCCCGATGTCATTAAATACGTCTACTGCAAAAGGTAATAAAGATAATGAAACGAATTTATCACAATGACCCCACCCCACTGGAACAGCTCTTGTTCTGGACAGAGGTCTTCATTTGACGACGAACTTGGCAATTCCCACCCGAGTCGTTTGTCATGATCGCTTTAAAGGGCCACTCCCCAGGCCCCATACCAAATTTTAGTTAGACCGTGAGAGTTGTTGGGTGTCCGATGAGGAACATTTTGCCAAAAATATTTAATATTTTTTTCAATCATATCACTACGAGCATATCATTACGATAAGGGGAGGCATGCTTGAAACTCTTGCCGCTCCTCCGAGTAGCCTTTGCAAGCCAAATCTCTTCCCTACCCTCTCCGGCATCCGACCCAGAGGTCACGTGTGCATGACGTGTCCGAACAAGCTCGACCCCCGTGCACGTGAGCAGCGCTTTTTTGTTTGTTGTTGTTGACCAGCGTTGTTTTGGGGTCTACTGCTTATTTCTGCGGGACGGTTTGGAAACGCTGGCTTAGACGTGGTAGAATAGACAAGCACAATGAGTGCGCAAATGCGTAGGAGCGTTGCGCTGACCGCGGGGACACGAACGCATGTGCAACGCCGGCACATTAGCTCCGCATTTCGTTGCAATTCACGGGGAAAAAATTTTAAAAAAAAAACGTTCACGTTCCCTTATTGCGTCTCATTATTTATCGAGAGATTTATTAATCTCTTCTAGAAACTAATACATAAACTACGCATGTCGTAATAAATAATCTACACCTTGTGACTTGCTACTGTTGGCGACGTCAGAGCACAATCGTCTACATAGAGGTCCAACGTCACTGCTTTGCCGTGTACAGCACGTAGGGCCATTCATACGCGCACGTCATGCCCTCAGTCTTGAAAGTGTGGCAGCTTGGGCTAGTTGGTATGACATGGCGATAGTTATAGCGCGAGAACGGAACGACGGCAAAGTCATTGTTGTCTTTTTGTCGTCGTTCTGTTCTCGCGCTATAACTATCCTCAGTTTTGGGCGTGAGCCCGAAAGAGAGGGGGGGGGGGGGGGGCAGCGTTCATCTTGAAATTTGACCCATTTCGGCGGCACGTAGCGTTGCAAATATTGGCAGACGTGATGGTGAACGCCTAATTTACGCATCGCGCTTGTCAGCTCAAAATTGTCAAACCTGGTTCAAGCCCTGTACCCTTCAAGTTATGAAGGTTTTTCAATATGAGGGTATTTTTAGTGCAGCCATTATGTCTAGCTCAATCAAGCAAAAAACGGCGCATAATGACATTGGCACGTAGCACTTTTTTATCACAATCAGAGCCCCCCCCCCCTCCCCCCCAGATCACGATCAACGATATTCGCTGCAACAGCACCCAAACATATCTGGATCGAAATCGGCGCAGTCAAATCGCGATGCGCCGATACCAACGGGCACCGATTTCGCGAGACACCGCTGTGAAACCATTGACAATTAGGAAACAAGGGCGCCACGAAGTTAAAAATACGTTACTATGTTTTTGTCCCAAGCTCCGACGGATTCAACTCGCTTGAATTGTCACACACGTGTCCACACGAAAGACGCGAGGAGAGCGCCATGTCATAGAGGCTAGAAGGTTTTCCTAGTGTCGTGAAAAGCGTGAGCCATGTGAAATATAGTAAGTAAGTAAGTAGGTGCTCCTAATCCCTTTTGGCACAGGGCAGGCGCCAGCAGCGCCACAGGACAAAGTTGTGCGCTTCAACGCACATCCATACACACGCACACACACATCACCAGTCAGGCGCTTGCCGCGCCACCGTCAAAAAAAAAAAAAAAACATTTTGTGTTTTACACGCACTTCACGCGAACACGCACTCACACGTTTTCCACTTTACTGTTCGAAGAAAGAAAGGTCTGGTAGTAAATTGCCCGTTTCGCCACCAGGGGAAACGTGCCCTCGGCCAAGTCTATCCAGTGGCGTCGGCGTCGTTTAGATATGTTCTGTCGGCCCTTCGTTGCGCTGGACACTGTCGGGGTGTTTGTCCACCTGCCAGCACAGTCTGTCCCAGAGTTTTAGACGTCGCTTGGCACTCTCGGTGTGTTCGACTCGGGTGTCGACGGGATCATCTGGGAGACCCAGATATTCCGCCAGGTTATCTGGGTAGGTCCCTCGCTCCGAGTCGCGGGCAATCCATCAGGATATGTTGGATGGTTTCTTCCGTGGCCCCGCATAGGCGGCACGACGGGTCCGTGTCGAACAGTTCCCAATGCCGCTTCCGCGTGGGCAGTGACCCCGTCCTGGCTTGGAACAGGAGGGCGCTTTCCCGGTCGCCCCTGTAAAATGGCTCACGGTCTGGAGCCTGCTTGTATTCGAGGTATAACTGTAGGCTCCTTTTCTTTGCCGCCGACGTGCGCCACATCTCTGTGCTGGCTTCGGTTATAGTGTTTTTTGTTATTATACGCCATTCTCGTTCCGATTTTGCTTCTTCCAGTTTTGTGTTATGGCCGAATTATTTTCCAGAGAAGCCAGTCGTTTCATCCACTGTGTTTTTATGCCCCTGTATCGGAGGTGTAGGTATATGCGCTGGCTGTAATTTGTTTCTGGTAGAAACTTTAGCCGGCCCGCATATTGTATTTTTGACCTTGCTTCGCGTGCTTCGAAAGTTGACCAGGCCAACTCCCCTGTTACTGCTGCGTTTGCTGTTGCAAAGCTGCCTCCAGTAGCCAGCGCCCCAGTTCATTTTGGTGGCGGTCCAAACATCGCACTGTTTGGGTAGAGTACGCCAATGTGTCACCTGCGTAGGTTATTGCAGGCACGGCAAGAGTCTTCCAAAGTGTGCGGCCTACCCTGTAGGGGTTGTAGGAATGCCGTGACAGGTGCCAACCCCTACCTTTTAGGCGGTTGGATTGTTTTAGGAGTAATTCTTGGTGTTTGTCAAGGTAATTCTTTTGGTCTGATACTGTTATGCCTAAATATCTGTATGTTGCTGTTTTCTTGATGGTGTTGCCTTGGATGGTGAATGTTATGTCTTTGTCATCAATGTTTATGCCCATCCATTGTGTTTTGTCAGTGTTGAATGTGAGGCAATCTTCGTGGGCTACGCGAGAGCATATGTCGAGGAGATGTTGCAGGTCCGCTGGGATTCAGCCAATAATACGATGTCATCGGCAAATGCAAGCATGAAATTTTAGTGTAGATTTCTTGGCGCTCAGTTGTTACGGTGGAAAGACGTAGCCCTGGTCCTTCTCTATTTACTTGTTCTAGTAGGCTGTTAATGTAAATATTGAATAATGTTGGCGATAGTGGGCACCCTTGTTTGAGTCCAATATTTTGTTGCACCTGTCTAGATTTATATTTGCCCAGTTCATACACTGCCGTACACTCTGCATATAGTGCTTTTAGTAATTTGATGAAGTCTTCCTCAATATTAATTTTTTCTAGCTTCTCCCCACAGTCGTGAGTGCGGCACTGAGTCATATGCTTGTTGTAGATCCAGGTATGCCAGGTATAGTTGAGATTTGTCTCTGTTTTTCATTTCTATTGCCTGGGTTAGGGTAAAGATATGGTCACTTGTCCGTCTGTTTGGGCGAAATCCATTTTGCGATTCTGACAAGATTAAGGTTTTTTCACAGTGGTTTGTAGCCTGCGATTCAGGATTGTATTGAAGAGTTTCAGAATGCTACTCAGTATTGTTATGGGCGATACGCCCCAATGTCACTTGTTTCCTTTCCCTTTCCCTTGTGAATCAGCTTTACCCGGCTTTCTTTCCAAGTTCTTGGTATTTTTTCTGCTTGCCAGAATGTCGTTGAGGCAGCCGCGTAGCATTTCCTTTGCCTCTGTTTTGAATGCTTTCAGGAATTCGTTGGGTATATCATCGAGTCCTGTTGCTTTCTGGTTTTTTAGATCATTTATGCGTCTCTTTAGTTCTAGTTTAGAAATTGGTCCAGTCAGCTTTCTTCTTCAGGTGTGCTGGTCTTGTCCTTTTTCTACTGCTGATCTGGGGTGGTGGATCTACTGGATTGGTTTGCATATTTTTAAAATGTTTAGTTATGTGCTGTTCAATTTCTCTTTGGTATGTAGAGGAATGCTATTTTCAGTAAGTAGTATGAGTGAATCTTCCTGAAGGGTGTCCTTTGGTTCCAGTGTCCTTATGTATGCCCAAAACTTCTGACTGTAATGGTTACGATCCTTATGCAGGTTTTCTTCTTCTTTTTGGAATTTCTGGTCTATCTTTTTTGCGGCCATTTCCTTTACTTTTCTTTTTTGGGCCAGGTATTCCTTCCAAATTACCTCTTTTCTGTCGACTCATTGGGCGTATGACGGTGCCTTCTGGATAATTCTTTGCGAATGCGAATTTCTGTCTTCAGTTCTCCATCAAACCAAGGTGTGTTTCTGGTCCTTTTTTTTTCACTAGTTTTCCCAATGGTTTCTTGTGCTACTGACAGGCATTTTTCTGCGAATTCCTCGTATGTTAGAGGTTCTGTTAATGTTGACTCGAGTTTATTGGAAAATTCATCCAGGCGCTCTTGCTCTTTCACTCGCCAGTGAGCTTTTGTAGTTTCAGGCCGGTTTACTCGATGGGGTTGATGGCGTCTGAGGCACAGTTTCATTCGGTTGTGGTCACTTCCACAGCTGTTTGTTTTGTCTTCGTCTATGTACAGAGCTGTGATGTTTATATCTTGCCTTACTACCTCTTGATTGTAAAGTATGTAGTCTATAGCAGATTTGTTAGCTCTGCGTGACCATGTGTAGGTGCCTTCACAAGCTGGATGGAGGTTTGCTATTTGTAGGTTGCATTGTTTAATTAATTTTCGGAAGCCAGCAGCATCTTTTTCGTGACCATCCAATTCTACTATGTGGCAGTTGAAATCTCCCATCAGTAGTACCGGTTGGCCTTTGTAGGTTTCTTCAATGTCTTTCTTGAGGCATGCGTAAATGCTGTCATTCCACTTTTGTTCCTCGAGGCCTGTTGCCATGTATATGACACAAATGTACAGGTCACGTGTGTCAATCTTTATTTTTATCCACATGTGTTCCTTGTCCTGGCAGTCCCCATTTACAGTGCTTCTCTTCGGTGTAATAAAACCAATGCCTCCACCCCGTTTTTGTCCTTTACTTCTGTTCTTTCCTTGCCATACTAGCCCCGGGAGCAGAGGTTGTTCGTCGTCCCGCAGGTGAGTTTCCGTAGAGGCGTAGATATCTATTTTTTGTCTGTTCACTTGGTCTTGGAGTTCAGCCCACTTGAGTTTGTTTGTTCCTTGCATGTTTAGTAGGCATATGGTGAGTTCTTTTTTCACTCACTCTGCTTTGTTCTTCTGTTTTCTTCTTTTCTGGAAAGTGGTTGACAATGATCTCTGGAGGACTGAAATTGGGGGGGGGTTGTGCGTATGGTTTTGCCTGCTTGGTTGCTTACCAGTGCCGGTTTCCTCTGTCCTAGTTTGCCTAGGGCTGTTGTCATTGCTTTCAGTAGCGTTGCACTGTCCTTTGATCTTGTCTTGTTGATCGTCTCCAGTGTTGTGGGCGCGTTGGTTGTTTGTCCCATTAAAAAAGATTTAATGGCCTCACCTAGTTGGCTGCCAACCTGGTCCGCTGCCTGTCCGAGTAGTGGATATCATCCAGGTGATCTGCGGTTAGCTGGGCGGCTGCTGACATAAACCGCACACTGGGGCCCAAGGCTGTACACGCCGTTTGAACTGCCGTGTTCCATGTTTGGCATGCTGTAGCAAATTGTTGACCCCTTGCTTTCGGTTCAGGGATGGCACTGACTATGTAGTGGTGTTTGGGTGTCTTTTGGCTCCAGTAAGTCAGTTGTTGCTTCAGGTGGTCAGTGGTCTTTTTAATGTCTGCTTTATTTAAAAGATCAGTAGTACCTACATGTATTATTAGTTGCAGCTCTGTGTTGGTGGCATTTGCCTTCTGAATTTCTCCTTCAGCTCGGTGAAGTGTTTCTTCAAGATTGGCACCAGATTTTGTAGTGATGCTAGTCTTTGATCATGTATAGCTTTACGGAGGTGCTTTTTCAATCGATGGGCATTGGAGTCGCCTAGGACTACAGTGCGTTTGCTTGTGGTGGATGGTCATTTGACTGCGTTTGAGGATAGGGATGTTTCTGTTTATGGTCAGCGCTGAGCTGCTGCTGTTTCTGGCTGGTGTTCTCTGATTTCAAGGGTCGGCCTTTTTGCCCACTTGTGTCCCAGGATTGCCTTCCTCTGCTAGCTCAACTGTGTGCTCAATGTCTTCACTTATCCTGCTTGTGCCCTGTGATGGAATGTCTTCCTTCCATTGGCTGCGAAATTGCTTGTCTGAGGGGTGTTTTGGCTCTGGTGTCCCGGAGTCGTGTCGAGGAGTTGAGGTAGCCTGGTCTCCGTTTTCTTGGGCGTCCTGAGTACTGTTTGTCTGTTCGAGTTTTTTTATTTGGGTTTGGAGGGTACCAATCTCTTCCTCGAGTTTTTCACGCAAGTTGCGCTCTGTGCTCAGCAAAGTGTGTAGGTTTTGCCTATCTATTTTAGCTTCCGCTTGAGCAGCTTCCCACTCGGCCTTTATTTGGCTAATTTGTTGTGAGTGTTCGGCACGCAGTTTTATTTCTTGAAGTGCGATTGAAGCCTGCATTGCTGCGAGTCTCGTGCAGAGGTTGCACGTGTATCTGCCTGCCTGGG